CATTAAACAGTCCATTGAACCAAACCTATCTGTGGAACTCCTCTTCATTTACTTTCCAACCATGGATCAATTCGTAGAAAATCGCCTTCTTCGTTCTGCGTCTGATTACATCCATCCGACTACGAATCCTACCAAGACAAAACAAACTTTCGCATAGAACCAACGTACAGGTTCATGCCCACTTCGCAGGTAATACGCTGCTAGGCATGGTATGAATCCTCTTCTCTTCGCACTTTTCCGATCAAACAACAAACATTCCCAAGCATTCGTTCAGCGTTGAGATTATTTGAGCAGAAAATACTTGGTGGTTTTTCTGGGTTTTAAGTACTGTGATGTCGGTTCTTATCAGGCTTCAACTTGCTAATTCGGGTAATCAGTTTTGGATCGTTTTTTTGCTGACCACGGATTTTCAATAGCTTTAACATCTAGCATCATAAATACCAACACTACTACCAGCGCAGGGATAGCACCAGCATGAACCAAAAGAAAAAGTAAAGCAGTAACTTGAAGACCTAATAAAAAGCAATCCCAAGCAAGAATTCTTTTTATCTTAGTCTCACCCAAACCACAAATACACCCTAGAAAGAGTTAATAACCACAAATTTGAAAAAGAGACCAAAAAGTGATAAAAGCGATATGCAAGATTACCACGGAAAAAGCAACTTTAGGCACAAGAGCAAAAATTAGACTACCTCAAGGAGGAGGTGCTCCTTCATAAACGTCTGTTATCCATATATGATAAGGAGCAGCACCTAATTTAAATAATAACAAGGCAGATGCTAAACAAACTTGGGGTAAGGGTTCTAGCCCATAACAAATAAAGATGAAGAAACACATATGATTCCGGTTAGTAGAGCTAAAGAGGCTGAATACCTTATGAAAAATAGATTAAAGACGACCCAACCAAAAAAATATAGAAGCAACAGAAAACAGGGTGTTCGCACGATTGAGAGCGAAGTTTCTGATTGAGAGCGAGAACCAAAAAAAATCGAAATTCGGGTCCAGACGCCTCCCGTCATTTCTCGGGAAGCAGGGGACGGGCTCTTCCAAAAGCGGCGTAAATTGAAGCTCTCTTCAGCAGCTTCGCGTGCATATGCGTGTCACTGCGATCGGCTGCAGCAGCGAGGAGCTACGCACGTTGCTAGATTTCCCCAGATTGGCTATTCTGCTCAAAACTGTTTCGGGGCGCCGTCGCCTGGCGCGGTAGGCCCTCCCGTAGCTTCTGCTCCGCGGTGTAGCTCCACAACGTGAGGCACCCGCAGGATGGCCCGGGTATCGGCTTGTAGTGTGCTCAACAACCAGCTGTGCACCATACTGGCGAGTCAAGTATCCTTCATCATGACAACTGACAACGGGAACCTCAGCACTGCCGGATATTGCGTGCTCGAGATTATGGTTGTCCACGTCGGCCAGAAAGCGTTTCCGCCAACTGAGAAAGGTGTCGGCGGTGCAACTTGCCGGTATTCTAGGCACAGGAACTCTGACAATTAAACCTCCCCAATGCAAACCCGGCACCCCAGGACCGCCATCATGACTCACCCCGCCTGGCCACATTGGCCTCACCGGTGCTGATGAAGCCCCTCCAGGGGCAACGAGACAGTCTCCTCTTGGGCTGCTGCTGCCGGCAGGTGCACCCGCCGACCGTCGCTGTGCTGCCCTAACCTCCTCCGTCTCAGCCTTGGCAGCATTTATATCTTGTAGCGCCTCATCCAACCTAGCGCGCAGAGCCGCTTCCTCCTCCGTTCCAGACATGTCAAAACAAAAACTCTAAACCCTCCCTCCTGTCCTAGCCTCGAACTGCTGTCCCAGCTATGAACCCTGCTGTCCCGGTTCCCCGCAATGGCCACCGCACCAGCTATGTACTGCTGTCCTCGCCCCCTTTGGCCGCGATTCCAGCTATGAAAGTGGTGTCCGCTGCCCCGATGGCCCAGCTCCCGCCGCTCAGACGCCAATACCCACTACCAACACCAGGCCTTAGAATACATTTTGTTGTGTTTGGGTGCGGTAGCTCGTCGGAGGCTGAAAGAGAAAGAAGGTTGACTCAAGACCTTGTTGCTTAGAGAGTAAGAGACATGCTTCAGGCAACACCATCGCCATGCAGCATGCCCATCAACACATTTCATCCGTGTACCTCCCCGGAGGCCCCGTAGACAGTACACTCTGCAGAGCACCCCAAACATTGCTTTATCAAGGAAGTACTCTAGTAGCTGATTGGAGGGATTGTGACGTGCATGTACGTACGACAAAACTATTAATGATTCGCTAGAGGGGAAACTTTGTCTGTGTCTGTCTGTCCGTGCGCGATACACAGGAGATTCGACCCCATTCACGAACTCGCCACCAAATTGCAATCTAAGGCTTGTGCACAACAAAGTAGCATTTTGCCCGATCTGTCACAAGTGCTTCCAGCTCAATCCGTGCTCGGCGCATCGAGATAGCACAGCATCTGCGCCGAAACTGATGCAGAGGACCAACTGCCCTCCCCAAAAACCCAGGCAGGCGTTCTTTGTAGTTGTCGGTACAGAGATGCACACACGGCAGTAGGACGAGGGGGATACACACCAGAGGGAAAAGGAGGCTGGAGCGGAACGCGTACCACCAAGGAGAGGAAGTCTGACGGGCGGGTGTAGCCACAACACGGTGGAAGCGAGAGGAAAGAAGAAGCGTTTTGGTTCTCATTGGTCTGGTGCTTGTTGTGTGTGCCTTGCTACTCTCGCGCGAGAGAGACGCAGGGGCGGCGACCAGCCCAGGCAACAGCACAGAGACAGAGGGACGGAGAGATGGGCGTGAACACGCGATCGAGCAGCTGACAAACAGGAGGTACATGAGAGACGCGCATGCATGCATACGTGCTCCTGTTGGTTTGTCGTTTGTGCTGGTTTTCTTCCTGGGTTGCTCGGTCGGGGTTGTCTAGGCATGCTTGCCTTCTTGTGTGTACAGCAGCAGCAGCAGCAGAGGACAGGAGAGAGACACACCCAACACGCTCCTACATCCCCCATTGATGATGCATATACTACTGTACGCCTCTGTCTACACTTGTGTGCGAGGGGCTAGCGTGCGACCTGTGCCTTCCGTGCTAGTCTGGTCACCGATCACACGCTTTTGACTTGCCTTCTCCCTCTCTTGAGTGATGATGATGATTACCAATCCCCCTCGCTCGCTGATGATGATGAACACCACCGCTTCTCTCGCTGATGATGATGAATACCACCACCCCCCTTGTCGCTGACGATGATGAATACCACCGTCCATCTCTCGCTGATGATGATTAATACCACCACCCCCTCCCTCCCTGATGCTGATGAATACCACTCCCCCTCTCTCGCTGATGATGATGAATACCACCCCCGCTCTTTATCTGATGATGATGAACACCACCCCCTCTCTCTGGCTGATGATGGTGAACACACACACCCCATCTTATCTGATGATGATTAACACCATCCCCCTCTCTCGCTGATGATGATGAATACCACCGCCCCCTCCTCCATCTAAATCACACGAATCGCCTAACCCAACTCAACACTTCTGCTGTGTGGTGTAAACGAGCCGCCAATGGTAACAACGCACGAGCACATTGCAGACACTTGTTCTACAAAACAGATATACCGTACCCTGTCGACGTCCCGACTCTCAACCGCTTCCACGCCCACCTCCCCTACCCTTGCCCCATCAACGCCTATTTTCGTCTGAAATAACGACCGCTTCAACAACCAGAAACGCTCTCTGAACTCAACGGCGCTGAAGAAGTACAACGACAATATACGGGGCGACGTGAGTCCCAAGGAAGTGCAGGATCGTGAACTGGAGTAATTCCAAGCGTCCTCTTCGCTCTCCTCCGCCGCCAACGGATAACAGTTCACCGATTTCGACCTGCTTCAACTGCACACACGGGCGGGAGACTATGTGAGCGTGGCGATGACAACGGCCTCTGTGTGTTTTTCTGAAACCCTTTACATCACTAATAGTTTTGGGTTGTGTGTACTAGGCTGCTACCTTGCACTATAGGTCGTTTTTGGGTGCGTTCACCATCGTCCTTTCTTTCACTCTCATCACTCCCATTCTGTATGTAGCCCGGCGTCGTGTGTTGTGTAGGAGGTCATCTGGCTCGGAGTTCTTGCTCTCTTTCACTACATTCTGTGTGTGTGTCCAACAGGCACTGGTGTGAGGGGCGGTGGTGCCCAACCTGCACTATTGAAGGCGTTATCTGTGTCCAGAAGTGTTCCGTGCACTGTGGAGGGCTGTGTGAGGTATTGCTTGCTCGAAACCAACCCAACGATCTTTTCCCCCGGCCGCACCCAACGATTTGTTCACCCTACCGTTATCGTTCGGTCTCACAAGCTTGCTGAGTGTTCGCTCCGTATTTCGTATATTGCCCTCAATGATAAAAGGTCGAAAACGCGAAGCTTACCTTGGGCCAGGCGGGCGTAAGGACGACCAACCACATGTGGCTTCACTTCGCCGACAGCATCAAAGCTAAGGAGACTCAACGACATATATTGGAATGGTGCCATTGAAAGCCAGCAGTATTTCAGCCTGCCCCAACTTTTGTGTGTGTGTGTACTGTGGCGGCACTGCGTGATAGACGCGGATCGAGCACGTAGGGGATCAGAGGGTACCTAGAGGCTGGGCGACGTCTTCTGGCAAACTCTTCGTCTTGCCCTCGTGCCTGCATCAACGCCACCTATTTGTTTGGTCGAGATCAACGTGGGTGCTAGCCCGCAACTTGTGTTGTATCCCTGAACGCTCTCAGAGTGGCCATATCTCTCTCGTAAGAAGAACACGCCGGGATCGCTCTTGTTTGTTCCTAGCCCTCGTTCCCTACCCGCTGGGGTGGTGCTGTGTTGATCGCGATGTTGGTGTGTAGCGTCGATGTCTTTCGAATATGTCTTGAGGATAACCTCGACTGACTGTCGGAGGCACGAAACGGAATCGTCGCTTATGGTACTCAAGATATATTCAGCTCATCTACACAACACTCGTCTTCGAACCATTTGATCATGCCAGCTACATGCGTCGACCGTACATGCACTTCTATCTCATGCGTTCCACAAAACCGTTGCACTCATGTTTATCCTTGTAGCTCGCTGCTAAAGTAAGGTACACTAAAGTACGCCAAGTTGTGTCTACTGCCCTCAAAACGCTGCAGACGTCAGCGAGGGAGGACACGAACACCACGAGAAACGCAACACGTCAGGCAGCTCACGAGACCCGCTGGCACACCACGCGAGGAGTACATACACCAAGCTAGCGCTCATGAGGTTGGCTACATCCGAGACCTCCACAGCAACCCGGTACTTCTACTTCAAAAATACCAAGATTACCGACACTGTGACCTCTGGTCTCGGCTGCCAGCGCGTCCTACAGGCGCTCGACGACAGCCTCTCGGGAGGGATGATGAAGATTGTCGATGGCACCGAGGGCACGAAACCGACGGCGGCAATGTTGGTGGGGCAGCCCCACGGCTAAGCCACTCGGCGCGCGGCAATCTTGCGGATCAACAGGCGGTGGGGGGCCGAGGGAAGCGTGGGAAGCGTGTTTGAGCGAAGGTGCCGTACGTCCCAGCGCGGGGGGCATCCTGAACGCCAATACCCTGCGGTATGCCAACGGCCACTCCGACGGTGACGGCCGCGACGTCTGGAATGAGCTGAGGTACTCGTGCTGCTGGGAGGCGGGAGGGAAGAGTCTGAAGAACGACGACATCATCTGCTACCGGATCAACCACGGTGTGCCTGCTTAGATCAGCAGCGGGCTGGCGCGGTTAAAGGGGGGCGACGTGAAGGCCGCAACCGCGGGTGGGGCAACCCCGCGCGACTGGGCGGTAGGAAGCGGGCAAGGAGACGCTGTAGAAATTTTTACGAACCCCATGGCCAAGAGGGACGACCTGAGCGGTGACGGTGATGTCACATTGGGAAGGATCCTGTACTTCGACCACGAGGGCAACCGACGCCCTGACGCCACCCCTGGCGCGGGCCCCGCGATGGAGCTTGTCCTCCCGTACGAGTTCGTCACTTGTGGGTCTGGACGGTCCAAGGAAGCAGATTCCGTCACACAGCACCCCACCTACTGGCTGCAGGGAGGGGTTAAGCAGGTTCCGTCAGACTACCTGATTGAGGCCATTCGCAGGCATGTCATGATGTACCACCACCGCGCGGCGTCGAGCTTCGCCACTGGGGTCAGTCACACTCCAGCGTCCGACTCGTGCAGACATCGCGATGATCACAAAGCTAGAGGGGGGGGGAGGTTTCGGAAGCACCACTACAGGCTAGCAGTGGCCAATTCCTCCGGGCCACGGGACGCGTACATGCTGAACGAGTGCAAGTGAACTTTCCAAACGTACATTCCGAACTCTCCAGTACCTAATCCCCCAGCAGGAGAAATCTGCTGTACACTCTCAATCAATGCAATCACAGGTACAACGTACGCACCGCAAACCACTATGACTGGCGCCGATTTTCGAAACGTTTTTTCGAGCCGCAGACGCACGGGGAGCCACTACTACGCTAGGCCGTATCTGCTGAGCTGTGCCTTGTGCACGCTGCAGGCATGCTCGTACAAGAGTATATCTAGCCACAGAATCTGCTTCAAAACCGGGTCCGTCATTGAAGCGACCAGAAGATCATTCTTGGCCTTGCTGTCGTGCACGTTTCTTGGCGTTGAAGAAGCTGAGGTAGATGTCCAATTGAAACCAGGTAGCTGCAAGGCGTGGTCGAAAAGCATCATGCTCGTTTCCCATTGCTCCAAAATCCCAACCGCGGCATATTTCGATCTCAGCAGTTCCTCAACTGGCTGGAGAATTTCCGGCATCCACACATTTTGACACACGTCTTTTGTCGAAATATTTGCTGAAGTCGACGTCTTCCCCGACGGTCCAAGCCGGCCTTCGAAGTACAATTTTGCCTTGTACCAAGGAGGCGATTTTACTTCAGTAACGAGAATGTCGTTCAGATCTTCGAAAGCGAGCGCGAACTGTACAACACCATGGTTGCCCCAATGCTCGGCGAAGTCGTAGATGTCACCGTCTTCCGGCTTGTGAATTCTCGTCGCGCAAAGTTGGTCCGAAGGCACTATGCCGCAGTAGTTGAAGGCCGACACGAGTCGAGCGATGGGGCTGTAGATACACAGAGGACAAGAATTTGGGAGAGTCAGCGGTTGAAGTCGTCATGCTTCCACGCGACATACATATAGCAGTAGACACCAAAAGGTACGTGTGCCCGTCTTGTCTGTTCCAGCAACCTCGAAAGACTGGTGGCCACGATCGCACCCATTATTTTGGGGCTTTCGACCAGGTTCGGTAAGGGGTATAAGACGGACCAAGCGTAAAGTTTGTCTGAACACAACAACAAGAATAGCTGCTGGACTTACTGTCGAACCATGGTGAACCATTTGCACCCTAGAACAGTGGCATACGGCCGCAGACCCTCGGTGTACGCGCCCCAAATCAGACTCGGCCTCCTGTCAAGAATTTGTTGCACTCCTCTGTCGCCGGCGTTGTATTGTGTATGGGTGAACTCTCCAACCGTGGTGTTTGTTGCAGCGGCATAATCCTTGATCATTCTCCTGATGCTCGTGCCCCCAGCCTTGTTCATGTCAGTATACACCCAGCATGCGGGTGGGGACAAAGACAGCTCGGGACTATCGCTGCCCACGTTTGCTGCAGCTAGCTCGAGCAAGGCACCTAGTGCCAGAGGCCAACAAACCCATTGAAACATCATGTCTGGCACAACGGACCCCCTGAAAGGTTGAGATTGAGCGATGGCACGTGTTGCAAAAGACGTGAGTTGGAGGAGATAGTTTGGGAGCGGGTCACCCTTGATCGTCGTGCAGCAGTAGTTTAGTGTGCAACAGCTTCATGAGATGCCGAAACAGAGAGAACGTTGCCTCAAGACCTTGCATCCACGTCATTTCCGATGTGCCGCAGATTCACGTTGCACAGACACCCCCCGAGAGAAAATACACTTCAATCGTGCCATCATAGTCCCCACCCTCGAGCTGCTGGTTTACCGCCGTAGCTCGTGCATCATTAATAACTGTTCCGGTTATTGAGAACGTCAGTGACGGGACGCCCAGGAGCGGTGGATCGTAAACATTTTGTACGCAACATATATTTGCAGAGTTTTCCGACCACATTCGCAACAGGTCTGGGCAGCCCAGCGCCCATGCCAATGTTCCAGATGTCCTCTACCGCAAAATAAGCCCAGCCACATCACGACTCCGCACCGCTCTGACCATATCTGAGTACCAGCCGGGTTGCTCCTGATATCGTAAGTCCCGGCGATGTGCAGTTGCAGAAAGTGGTGGCTGCAAAGCTATATCCGTAGTTTAGACTGGTGTGTAGCCTACAAGGAACGGTGTAGACTCCGAGTGCGTTGCAGCATTAGGAGTAACCACAAGGGGCGAGTGCGTATTGTTCTCAGCTCAAAACAATACAAAATACAACGGCAAAGGACATGGCCACTGCTATCATGGTTGCTTGGTCCATACTGATATACCGAAAAAACAACTTCGCGCAAATTGATTTTTCCCATGAGAAATGTGTCACGACACGAAAGACCATCCTGTGAGGATACATGATAGGGTTAAAGATTGCCCCCCTGCCCCCCAATGGGGCGAGCGGGCATAACCAGACGGATGGCGGTGAGGTTTTGGGAGGAAGTGAAGCAAAAGAAGTGTTTTTTTTCCGCTGGCCCGTCACGGAGCTAGAACGGACGCCTCCGCTTTAGGGTGTCCCCAGCAAATCTTTCCACCACCGCCTGCTCGACGCAGGGCTGAGCCGTCGCGCGCCTCCAGCGCTACACCGCAGTGAAGCACGCCCAAATCGGCCCAAATCGGCCCAAGTCGGGCGATTCCCCCTGCATCCCGGAGAGTCTACGCCGGGCTGTTCGTTTCAAAAAGATTCGCGACTCCTAATGGACGGAATTCGGCGGAGAACGCCAACGTCGAGTAAAAATCATCCCCAACTCTGATCTCGGCCGGGCTTTTCCCCTTCACAAACGTAATCGAACGCTGAGACCACACCAGCAGCAGCAGATACAGCGCAGTAGGCGTGTGACGTCTTCATCCCACACTTTCAAGTTTGAATGCTGAGCATACACACACGCAAACGCACGTCAACGCACGCGCACGACCAGTCGATGTACGTACATGGCATCAAACGTATACCCCGTGTAGGAGACGAGATTGATGATGGTCTCCATCTGGGCGTAGTTAGTGCGATGATGAATAACCCAAACGCTTCAGAACTAAGCCTGGGAATGTTAGGACGTTAGGCGTTACTGAGCAGCGAACAGCAAAAATACGACTTTTCATGGACGAACCCAGCAGTGTCTGCTCGGCTATTAGACTAGTTGCTGTTTTCGTTGTTGGAGACCATGACTGGGTTTTCGCGCGAAGACGGTTGAGACGACTTGACCCGCACGCACCCGGTACAAACGGTCTTCGACTGGCCCTCAGCGGAGAGAAAGAAGAGGGCATTTCTCACAGCGCCCATCCGTGCGTATGCACTAATTGTGGCGAGGGACCTCACGCTGTCAACCATCTCGCTACTCCACGCTGTCAACAATCTCGCAACAATGTCGTGCTCGCTGAGGATCTGGCTAGTACGCACGATCGCACCCGAATGAACGAGATCACCAGAACGCGGACCGGTACTTTAGTCCCGCTCTTTCGGCAAGAAGAACGAAACCCCCGGGCGAATTTCGTTTGTAGTCACAATAACATCATGATGTATATATCCTGATTGATTGACCTGATTGAGCGCGAGGAAGGCGTTAACCCTTACGCAAATGATGAGTGTGCTGCCGTCGACTAACCTTAACCCTAACCCTAACCCTAACCCTAACCCTATCCCTCGAGCTCACACACAGTCTTACCCGATACATGGCAAGAAAATCATTCGCCAACACAAACTAAAATACATTGGTGAGTGAGCGGATGGAGGACCCCAAACAACAAGGCTTGAAAACAAAAACAACATTTGCACATGCATTTTGTTTCACATGCATACAACCATATCAAAGAGCCAGACCCGACCCCGACCCGACAGGTTTCAGCGAGGAGGCAGAGGAGAGCATAGGAAAAGCACCTCCGAACCATACTGTGGGTAAAACCATTTCGGTGTACAAAAATGTTTTACTTTATCACGGTGCGGGGTAAAACCACTTCGGTGGCAGACTGGCACACCAGCTATGCACGTGGCACATGGTTACGTGTGCTCTTAGGCCTCAACTGAATCTCGGACGAGGAGGACGGGGGGGAGGTCAGGGCCAGGCAATGGTCAGGGGACGGTACTTGGGCTTGATTTCTTGTCGCCTTAACAGTTGTATATTCATTACTCACACAAAACTTGTCGTTACATCAGTATACGTCTGTTCGTGCATTAGACACCCCAGCTGATGGAGGAAGGGCGCCTTGAATTCCATTTCGTTGCTGCGTTCGTATGTGTCTTTCACAGATGATACGTTGTTGTTCATCCGCACCACACCGTAGCAGGGGGGTGCGGGAGAAAGGAATGGAAACGAAAGGTGTTCCTTTCCAACGTTGCTGGCGCCGCGCCGAGGATCCCCCGACAGGCAAGTAGTGTAGCTTTATCCAGGCGTACTTGAGACCAACACGTTGTCGCGGCGGATGTTTTGGTAACAGCAAACAGAGAGCTTCCGTCCACCAGTTGCTGAAGCGCAGCCTTTTTGTAACACGTGAGGAACCCACTCTGGGTTCCATAACAAATACAAGTGTTTCCAATATTACGCGGAAATTTGGGAGAGAGGGTCAGCGGGCAGCAATGAAGACGACCAGTCGATACATGACATGGATGACGGTGGGTTTGAGCTGGAAGGAGAGCAGGGCGTCTTCGAGTAGACGAGTAATAAATCATGTGCGCATATGCGCTTGAATTGACCGTGCGTGCTGCATCTCACCTGATTCGACCGGGAAGATTTTCATGTAAATGGCAGCGGAAGGTCTATCTGTGGATGAGCCTACAGGATAATGGACACGTAAATATTCCTGATATAGACAGTTGCAGCTGCACCCGAGACAAGACAGCAATTGACCGCGATGAACTGTTGTGCTACTCACACTACAACAGTCGGTGGAAGTTTCATTCCTTTTCTTTCACTATGGGCGCCAACCCAGATGTGACTCTCAGGAGAGCTGGTGCACGAGTAGTTTCGGGGTGCAGCGAACATAGGCAGCCCCAAACAGTAGTCTTGAGCCAATATCTTGTGCTGCAAGGGGGTGGGCTGCAGAGCTGAGGACTTCGGGTTTGCCAACGCATTTGTTTTCGCCGTGTATTCAGTCCTGTCGGCGATGAAATCGGCGACGTGGTAGGGAGTAGGATACAGCCAAGTTTCTCGTTTTGGGTGGGGTACACGCCATGGCAATGCATTTTTTTGGGTAGTGTGGCAGATTCGTGCATGGTAAAGAAGCACCAGGAGGTGGGCTTCCCATGTGCTCTGCCTGTGGGTGGCCCAGCAGTCGCCGCGGGTTCTCGAGCAGGTGGAAGTACATTGGACAGGGAGGATCTTGGGCGGAGCTGGGCGAGTAGTCTGCAACAGCAGTAGGAGAAAGGTCGCCTCATGAGCGCGACCTTCAAGCAGAGCTTCTGAAGGTGGGGTGCAGCTGTTGCCGGCCCGACTGTCTACGTGTGATGCACCGAACGTTCAAGCTGCGCCGTTGGAAGGAAGATATAGGATTTGGGTTGTTCGTTGGCGTCCTAGTAAGTGTCATTGCTGCTGTGCTGTCTACCCGCAAAGTGGCCGGACTTTTTTCTTACGTGGTGGTGCTCTGTCGATCTGTCGTCACTTCGCCGATCTCCCCAACTTCAATGTCACAACCGATGTAGTAACAGATACATACGTGGAGCGTGTCATGGCAAGTATGTCCTACTGCCCCCCCACCGTCCCTCACCTTAGCGTCGAGTGCTTCGATAGGAATTCGATTGGAATGGTTATTTTCTCCATTGCTGCCCGCAGAGAGAGGTATGTGGATTAGAAACAAGGACACTGAAATATCGAACACGCTCATGTGTCCTTGTCAAAGCATGCCCTTTCAGATGTTGAAGGAAGCATGATCGAGAAGTCGACCAGGACGCAGTCAGCACGGTGCTCATAGCGCGGGGGCTTCGTGATGCTATCAACGTAATCAGCCCAGGTAGGCATATGTACGTCTCGCGGCCTCTTCTTGAGCCACCACGCGGAAATACATGCCGGGTTCCTACAGTCCCGAGCCCCTCAACCTGCTCGCAGGTCTAGGTTCGTAAAGCAATATCAGCCACCACCGTTGTTTTGTGTGTCTCGCTGATAAGCTTGCGGCCGTAGCGTGTCGGGCTTGACGATTCGGAAAGTTTACGTTAGGTGCTCCTGAGCGAAATAGCCTGCTATATACGACAGGTGGAACACTGCTGAGTGCTGTTGCGCAACTCAGTTACCCTCGGAACGATGAGATACAAGATGTCGTTGATGTCGTCGTTCCAGGTTTTGATGGTAGAAGTCGAGCGTGAGACAGAGAGGCGCGCGGGCCACCTCTCGATCACTTCAAACAATAAATTCATTATCTTGTTATTGGGGACCCCGAATAGTCACCCGGCTGTTGTAGGGGTCCCCGAGTCACACCGCATGTGCGTGTCTCTGCTCTACTACAGAACGCGGCACGACCTAGGAACTTAGCAGTTAAGAACTTGAGCCTAAAAATTCCAAAATCTAACAACCTGGCAATG